CTGGGCAACAGAGGGAGTTTGGGCAGGGTCTGGGCAACAGAGGGAGACTCCATCTCAGTAAATTAAAAAAAAGAAAAGAAAAGCTTTTCAGAGAGAGAGAGAGACAGACAGACAGACTCTTGTCGTCTTGTCCAGGCTGGCCTTGAACTCCTGGCTGGGCTCGAGTGATCTTCCTGCCTCAGCCTCCTGAGTAGCTGGAACTATAGGCATGTGCCACCATGCCCAGCCGAGTAGTTTTGGTTTTGTTTTAAGAACTTTATATAAAAATTCGCTGGCCACAGTGGTTCAAACCTGTAATCCCAGTGCTTTGGGAGGCTGAGGTGGGAGTATCTCCTGAGGTCCAGAGTTTGAGACCTGCCTGGCCAACATGGTGAAACCCGTCTGTACTAAAAATACAAAATTAGCCGGTGATGGTGGTGCAGCCCTGTAATCCCAGCTACTTGGGGGGCCTAGGCAGGAGAATTGCTTGAACCTGGGAGGTAGAGGTTGCAGTGAGCTGATATTGAGCCTAGGTGACAAGAGTGAAACTCTGTCTCAAAAAAAAAAAGAGAACTATATTTAAAAATTCGATGGATAAGACAGCTAACTATAAAAAGCGAAACTACATACCACTAGAAACAAAGTGGGTAAATTCCTTTATTACCTTGGAAAAAACGAATGTGTATATGTATATGTGTGTATTCCACATATTCCTTATACTCAGATCACTCCTTCTTAAACATAAGGTGACATGCATACAATATTTACTATTCTGCATCTTGTTTTTCCTCATTTAACAGTATCGTAGAGGTTATGCCATACAAATGCAGATCTTTGTCATTTCTTTTTATGGCAGCAATTCCACTACATTTCACTCAACTAAGCATTTTTATTAACTTTTTTTTGACAAACTAATAGTAAAACATATGCTACCTAACAGTAACTGTGTCCCTTTATGTATGAGTCAAAGGTAAATATCATTCAGATTTTTATCTGAACAACAAATTCAAAGACTCCTTAAGAAATAAGAAATGAAATACCATGGTCACTAATGTAAACAGACTAAATATAAAAGCTATATATGTATATATATAGGTTGTGCGTGTGTGTGTGTGTGTATAGATTTTAAAAAATCAATGTTTTGATCAATGTAACTAATCTGAGGTTACAAGAACTCACTGCTTTAAATAATATTTCAATCACATATAATAGATTAAGATACTGTTTAGGGGAAAACAGCCTCAGAAGGAAGTATTAAAAAAAGGTATATTAGTCATTACCTTTAATCAAACTAAGTATCAACCTTTTCCCCAACCCATAAAGACTTCATGTCTCTAAATGGTTCCTAAATCATGAAAGATAACTTGAAAATTTTTTAATACATCTCAAGATATTACATGCTTATGCACTCTGTGTGGGTCCAACTTTTACTGCCTAGAGTTTCTTGTCATGGTAGTGTAACGTCATGAAAGTCTGGTTGCCAGATCTTTTTGTTTTTATTTGTAACAGAGCTAAACCTTTTAACAATTAACTTCATCTAAGTTATTTGCCAATGGCAATAGAATGATATGTATGCTTTATTAATGAAAATAGTACTTCTGCAAAATTTTTTGTAAGAATTCCATAAATACCAAGGAAAAGAAAACACTCAAGGGGTTTGGGAAAGAAACCCCTTTTATTTTTATTTTAAATCTATATAAGTTTAATTTATTTCCAAATTTCTAAGTTCTTCCAGAGTCCTGGCCTTCATATTTCCTGATTTTTCTTCTTGAGCTCTGCACTGCCTCAAAACCTATCCAAATGATCTAATTCTGTGTTACCTATATTTACTGTAAAGAACAATATATAATCAACATTATGTTACTAGAATTATGAAGCTCTTCATAAATTACTTTTTTAAAAAACTCCAAAAGAATTAAGCTATTTTATTTAACATATAATAGATAGTCATAAAGCAAGTTCATATGTTTAGTTTTCTGATATCCTAATGTAATTCCATAAACCTTTTTTTTTCGAGACAGAGTCTCACTTTGTCACGCAGGCTAGAGTGCAGTGGTGCGATCTCGGCTCATTGCAACCTCCACCTCCTGGGTTCAGGTGATTCTCCTGTCTCAGCCTCCTGAGTAGCTGGGACTACAGGCCCGTGCCAGCATGCCCAGCTAATTTTTGTATTTTTAGTAGAAATGGGGTTTCACTGTGTTAGCCAGGATCGTCTCAATCTCCTGACCTCGTGATCCGCCCACCTCAGCTTCCCAAAGTGCTGGGATTACAAGTGTGAGCCACCACACTGGCCTCCACAAACCTTTTAAGTTTACAGTTTTATATAGTTTTCCATCAGGGAGGCAAGATATATATAATTTCTGTTTGTATTTAACTAAAGGTTTTAAGAGGGTTTAGTCTCTAAATCAGTAACAATTTAGTCATAACACCATACAAACACATTTAAATATTCAGGAAAGAGATTTTTAAGATTATTGCTTAGTCTTATAAAATGGTGAATTTTAACCAAATTGATACATCTGTATTCTTATTTATATTTCCCATACTCTTACAGCATACTGCTTGGCAAGTAAGGTAAGTTTTGACATAATTAAAAAATTCAAGTAGTTGTAAACAAATTCTAATTTGTTAAACAATTCATACGTTCCCCTTTACTTCACTACCTCAGAATTAATCCTCCTTAAAAAAAGTAATCATCCCACAAAGAAAAACCTGCAGAGCTTCATCTCTTCCTTATAAGAACAGAAATCCATGAAAAAACTTATTAAAATTTGATATTTCATTCTGCTTTACTAATTATGGAATAATAGACATAAAAAAATGTTCCTTAATATTTCTCTGCTTAACAGAGAAATAGAAATACTGCAATTGTGGTTATGGGCTGTTTTGCAGTCTCTTCGAGTACAGAACACAGCTATGGTTCCTACCAGTAAGGAGAAATGAATAATCAATCTTACATTAAGATAAAAGAAAGATGAGAGGCACAAAAAGACAAACTGACTTTGGCTTTTAAGGACCTAATGTTAACCCTGAAATGCCAGATTCAGTAACACAACAACAAAAAAAAAGATTACAGCAGCAAGCCTCCACTTCACACAGTATTAAGAATTCTGAAATACGTAATAGCCTTCCTCCCATCTCCCACTCAATTTGTTGTGTCGTCTTTCTGTTTTTTCCTCCTTTTTTGTTGCAGGCATTTCAAGACTTGCCCACTGCCTTGGTTCAGCTTTTCTCACAGTGATCTCAATCTTTGTTGCAGTCATAGATGTGTAACTTCTATTTACATCAATCACACCCCATAATTTTACATTTTGATCAAATTCTTTCTCTCCTTCAAATACAATTGTGCACATTTAACAGTGTGCTGTTTACTTCTACTTGACTAAGTTCTGGAAGTGAATTTTTAGTGTATACTGAAATGGTAACTTCACCTCCAGTCTGATGCCAGCCATGGCTACGTGAAACAACTTTTTTTCCAGCATCCTTTTTAGTCCACATGTGTTTCCCGGTTGACAGCCCTTTTGGGCTAAAAATGTATTAAAATCAGGAGTTTATCTTCTACAACAGCTCCAGTATTTCATCCCCTCATGGAAAACAGGTGCTCCAGAATGATATACACAGACTTCTAGACTCTCTAGGCCCCGATATGTCTTTGAACATCCTTCATTCTTACATGAGGTCCCAATCTTAATTTCATCTTTGTCTTCTTTTTTCTTATCTTCTTCATTCCCTAATGATGGTTTAAGTTTATTAAGTGCTTGTTTTAGGGAGGCAGATATTTTTAATTCCAAATTTGTCATTGGTTCATCTGGGCTTGGCCTTTTTATTGCTTCTGGTTTAGGGGCTTGAATGATGTGTTCCTGAAATTTGGGTTTCAATTCAGATAGTTCTTTCTTCTCAGTAGTCTTGGCTTCAGGTTTGACTGGCTCAGGTGGCTTCTCACTGTCATATCTACCTTTTGTACAGCATATGATGCTTAAGAAATCAGAAAAATTGGGCCGGGCATGGTGGCTCACACCTGTAATCCCAGCACTTTGGGAGGCTGAGGCAGGTGGATCACGAGGTCAAGAGATCAAGACCATCCTGGTCAACATGGTGAAACCCCGTCTCTACTAAAAATACAAAAAATTAGCTGAGCATGGTGGCGCGTGCCTGTAATCCCAGCTACTCAGGAGGCTGAGGCAGAATTGCCTGAACCCAGGAGGTGGAGGTTGCAGTGAGCCGAGATCACGCCATTGCACTCCAGCCTGGGTAACATGAGCGAAACTCCGTCTCAAAAAATAAATAAATAAATAACAAATCAGAAAAATCATTTGTTCTTCACTTACAGCAAGACCAAACCTTTAATGCGTCATGAAAAACTGGAACACCTGGGTGGTATGTGCAAGCATCATCGGAATTGGTCTCAGGATTGAAGTGCTGACCGCAGCCCCGTTTGTAGCACAGCAAAGCCATTTTCTTTTCCCACTGTCACAGGCAAGGCCCAAACACCGGGAACGGAATCCCCGTGTTGCCAGCACCGGTCTGTCGACTGCCATTTTAGTTTCTTCTTTGAGTGGCTGTTTATATCCTTTGCCCATTTTGCTTTTGGTCTTTTCTCTGTTTTTAGATGTTGGAGATATTAGTGTTGTCTGTGATATAATTTGCAAATATGTTTTTCCATTTATCATTTGTCTTCCGACTTAGCTTGGCTTTTAGTGTTTTTTTGTTTGTTTTTTGCCTTGGTGTTTTTGTTTTAATGTAGTCAAATTTATTCTTTCTTTTTGTTCATTGTTTCTGGACTTTGAGTCATAGGTGGAAAGATTATTCCAACTTCCAGATTGTAAAAGAATTCATATGCTTTTCCCTAATAATGTGTGATTTCACTTCTTATACTTAGCTGTTTAATTCATTTAGAATTTATCTTGTAACATGGTATGAAGAAAAGATCTAATTTTATATTTTATTTTTTCCAAGTGGCCATCTACTTATCCCAATACCATTTATTAAAAGTCAACTTTTGGGCTGCACAGTCATAAAACTGAGGAGGCAGAGCTGAGACTGTCAGGACTGCTCGCTAACTCTATGAACAGGTTTAAGTTTTTGAAACTGAAGTAGGTCTACACAGTAGGAGCTCATGTCTGTTCTCATAAGTAAACCAGAGCAAATCAGGACCAATGAGGTGATCTCAGAGTCAATAGCATCCTTCTCTAATCAGGAGATCATGAGTAGCTTTCTGCCAGAGGGTTGGTGTTATGAGCTGCTCACTGTGATAGGCAAAGGATTTGAGGACCTGACGACTTTGAATCTAGCAAGGTACAAACTAACGGGAGAGTATGTGACTGCACGGAGGATTAACCTGGAAGCTTGTTCCAGTGAGATGGTAACATTCTTGCAGGGCAAGCTGCATGTCTCTAGACTCTTCAAACATCCCAATATTGTGCCATATCAAGCCACCTTTATTGCAGACAATGAGCTGTGGGTTGTCACATCATTCATGACGTATGGTTCTGCAAAGGATCGCATCTGTACACACTTCATGGATGGCATGAATGAGCTGGTGATCACTTACATCCTGCAGGGGTGCTGAAGGCTCTCGACTACATCCACCACATTGGATATGTACACAGCAGTGTCAAAACCAGCCACATCCTGATCTCTGTGGATGGGAAGGTTTACCTGTCTGGTTTGTGCAGCAACCTAAGCGTCATAAGCCACCGGCGGCAGCAGTGAGTGGTCCACGACTTTCCTGAGTACAGTGTCAAGGCTCTGCTGTGGCTCAGCCCTGAGGTTCCCAGTAGAATCTCAAGGGTTATGATGCTAAGGCTGACATCTACAGTGTGGGAATCACAGTGTGTGATTCCCACATGTCCCCTTTTAAGGATATGTCTACTACCCAGATGCTGCTGGAAAAATTGAATGGCACAGTGCCCTGCCTATTGGATACCAGCACCATCCTCTCCAAGGAGCTGACCATGAGCTCTTCATGCTCAGTGGCCAACTCTGGCCTGAATAAAAGCCTGACCACCAGCACCCCCTGGCCCTCCAATGGCAACTCGCCTACTCACCCTTACCACCAAACCTTCTCCTCCCACTTCCACCACTTTGTGGAGCAGTGCCTTCATTGCAACCCAGATGCCAGGCAGAGCACTAGTACCCTCCTGAACACTTTTTTTCAAGCAGATCAAGCGATGTGCCTCAGAGGCTTTGCCTGAATTGCTTTGTCCTGTCACCCCCATCACCAGTTTTGAGGGCAGCCAGTCTCAGGACCGCAGTGGAATCTTTGGCCTGGTAACAAACCTGGAAGAGCTGGAGGTGGACGATTGGGAGTTCTGAGCCTCTGCAAACTGTGCGCACTCTCCAGCCAGGAATGCAGAGGCCCTACCTGAGGGCTGGCCACATTCCCACCTTCCTGGGCAGATTGGGTAGAAAGGACATTCTTTCAGGAAAGTTGGCTGCTGACTGATTAGGAAAGAAAATCCTGGAAAGACATTTCTTCACTGCTCCAAGGCTTTTGAATCTCAACACCCCGGGATTGGGAGGGTCCAAAGCCAACATTCTCAGTCCTGTGAGGTCAGGTGACCTCCGCAGAAGGAAGAGATGCTACTCTGGCCCTGGAAGCTGAATTCCAAGACCAGGGTTTGACTCATTAACCCTGAGGACTGCCACCTCTTCCCAGTGCTTGCAACCAGCCTCGTTCTATTTAACTTTGCCCTCAGATCCTATATGTCAGTGAAGGGCAAGTAGTAAGCTGCCTGCCTCCCTTCCCCTACACCTTTCCCTCAGAATTGAAGAGAAGGGTATTTCTGTCTTTTTAAACACAGACTGAGACCGTCCATCCTTATCGCTATTCTGGCTTGGACCCTGACACCTAAATCTTTCCCACGGTTTATGTGTGTGCCTCATTCCCTTCCCACCAAGAACCCATCTTAGCGCCTCCTGCCAGGTGCCCTGGTGGTTTCTCCAAGGGCCATCAGTGTCTTGCCTAGCTTGAGGGCTTAAGTCTTTATGCTGTGTTAGTTTTGTTGTCAGAACAAATTAAAATTTCCAGAGACAAAAAAAAAGGTCAACTTTTCTCCTTCTTACTTTAGATGCCACTTTTATCATATGCTAGATTGTTGTGTCCCTTAGTTCTATTTCTGGGCTTTCTATTCTATCACATTGTTCAGGCCATCTATTCATGTGTCAATATCACAGTTTTAATTACAGAGGCTTCATATATATTGCTTTAAAAAAGTATTATTGGCTGGTACAGTGGCTCACATCTGTAATCCTAACATTTTGGAAGACCGAGGCGGGTGGATCACATGAGTTCAAGAGCTTAAGACCAGCCTGGGTAACCTGGTAAAACCCCGTCATTATATATATAAAAAAAAATAGCCCTGGGTTGTGGTGCACACCTGTGGTCCTGGTTACTCAGGAAGCTGAAGCAGGAGGATAACTTGAGCCCAGGAGGTGGAGGTTGCAGTGAGCTGAGATCACACCACTGCAAACCAGCCTGGAAAACAGCGCAAGAGTACGTCCATCTCAAAAAAAAAAAAAAAAAAAAAAAAAAAAAAAAAAAAAAAAAAAAAAAAAAAAAAAAAAAAAAAAAAAAAAAAAAAAAATGCTGAATGTTCTTTGCCCAAGGGTGAGGATGCAGTAATTTTTTGCCTTAGAATTGGTCAACTGTTAATCTGTTCAATGTCCTCTCAGTGCTGACAGCAACAAATACAACTAAGAAAGCTGAGAATTCTGCACAAACCTGTTTCTGGGCTCTTCCCTGCATGTATGTAATGGTTAAAAGCAGTCTTTAGAATCATGATATTGAATCCAATTTAAGTTGTTTATTAGCTGTGTGACCTAGCCTACTGGTCTAATATAAGTCTGGTGAGCTCTAGTTTATTGAGCTGATCCATGAAGCTCTCCAAGCCTCAATTTCCCTATAATGGGGATCAGAGTATCTCATGTGGTGGTTAGAAAGACTAAATGAGATAATCCATGTAAAATCCTGCTATGGTGTGTATTATTAGCTTATGACTTATCATCAGACGTAGTTTTGAAGGTTACTCTCTAGAGTTTTACCTTCCCCCCCGTGATGTCTTCCATTCTAATAGGCAATGTCATTTTGCTGCTAGTGTTTGTTTCCTCCTAGCAGTTGAGTTTTACTAGCTCCAATGGATGTGGTGGGCTTACAAAGGTGATAGTGATGATGAGCACTGAAGGTCTTCATGCACAGCAAAGTTGTGACTTTGATTTCTTCCTGCCATCAAATTTAAGAATAGGCAGCCATTTGGAAATGCCATTTTGAAAAAGAAAAGGGATTACAGAATCAGAAGAGCACCATATTGCAACCCCCAATGATCTAAGTGGTGAGTAGCAATAGCTGCAAAAATCACAAAAAGAACACCAGGCAATATATGCTTTCTGATGAAAAACACACTACATGTATGATCTTGCCAAATGAATCAAACCTGAATTTGATCAAGCATCTGGATCCCAATCAGCAGAAAATAAAAAGGGCAGAAGGATATGCTGATTTGTACCATAAATATGCAGTTGGCAAAATGCAGACTATGGGAAATTCCACAGATCAAACAGCCTAGGTTCTGCAATAGAAAAAGTATAATCAAAAGAAAGGGATGGAGGGGAAATCTGTAGATTTAAAAAGGCCTAAAAATATATATTTCATGGGCTACAATGTAGGGAAAAAAAATCCAATGTCAAAAATGGGCATGAATAAACTATAGGGTCTAGGAATAGCATCTATTATTAGTCAGAGTTTTCTGTTTCTCTGGAGATATATATATATATATACACATACATACATATATGTCCCCAATTGGTTATGTTTCTCTGGAGAACTGTGTGTGTGTGTGTATGTGTGTGTGTGTGTGTGTGTGTGTGTCTGTGGAGATATATATATATGTATATATATGTACACAGACACACATATATGGGGTAGGGGGGCAGGATTTAAGAAACTGGCTCACACAATTGTAAGCCCTACATCACCCATGGGTACGCTGTGTTCAGCAGCGACAAAGGAATGAGAAAAAGACAGATTAAGAGAGTTAGTGGGACCAGGGGGCCATCTCATTACTTTGGAGGAGACAGTGAAAGCCCTGAGCTATGATCATCCACACTATTTATTGGTTACAATCACTTTGATCTATAGGGTAGGGGTGGAGTGATGGTGTAGTGAATCAGTGAGCTGGAAGTGAATCAATAGCTGGAACTGATGTGTCATTCTACAGATTGATAATAGTGGCGGTTTGGGAGTTTCACAAAAACAAGAACATATGGTTATCTTTAGCCTATTGTCTATGTGCTGCTGAAGGAACTCAGGCCTTACAAGGAGCCTACAGGTCTGGCTACCTCATAGTGCTATGAAGGGGTTTTACGTCTTTGAGCACAATGTTTATGGTAACAGAGCTTAGGTCACCCTGCACCAGAACATGAGGCATGAAGAGGCCTTCCTCCTCAGAGGCCTCCTGCAGCCTAATGCAGTTATTCCTTGTCGTGTGTTACATATAACCAATTTATGTAGGCACTCTGCAAGTCCTTTCTCCTTTGCTGCTTTTCCCAACATGGCAACCTCAAATTCTGCAGGTAGGCCTGCAGGCTGGAGACCCAGGGAAGAATTGCACATTAAATCTACAGGCAGTTTGCTGTCAGAATTCCCTCCTCTTCAGGGTGGGTCAGTCTTTTTCTATTAAGGCCTTAACTGATTGGATGAGGCCCACCTACATTATGAAGGGCAATCAGCTTTACCCACAGTTTACTGATTTAAATGTTTTTTTTTTTTTTTTTTT